CAGATTGAAAGGCGTTGGTTGTCGGTGTCAAACCACCTTGGAAGGCGTTGGTTGTCGGTGTCAAACCACAATGAAGGGCTTTGTTTGTTGGTATCGTGCAACGTTGGAAGCCGGCGTTAGTCAGTGGAAATTGAGGTTGATCATGATATGACGGGACGCAATATATGACTCCTCTGGTTCAGTTGGCTGAACAATGCATTACTCATTAGTTGATTGACTTGGCGTGGCTGCGACTGGAAACAACAGGCAAACCTTCGTGGCTGCGATCACGCGACTGGAAACAACAGGCAAACCTTCAGTTGGTTTCCTTGGAGGATCCTTTCCTCTTCCTTGTACCACATTTACGACCTTTGTTCCGAGGCATATTGATGTTAGCTAGATACACAGAACCGAAACTGCCAGATCCAAGCTTTTTCTGTTTAGATATACTTGCCCAATCATGAAATCTCGGCAGCTCAAAATCCTTCTTTTGTTTCGGCACAAGTTTTGGAAGCTCAAAGCTTCCCTCTATTCTAAAATAACGCTTACAATCACACGAGGCTATAAAAATATATTCCGTACATGACCGCACATGCCAAAATATGTAGTTGATTTTGGTCGGAAGGTTTCAAAATTCAGGTGTCAACGCAAACCTCAGAAGAAGCACGTGTTGGCAAGCGGCAGAGCACACTTGCAATCAATAGGTGTTATGCTACGGTAATATATAAAACTATTCCTTAGGGAGTGAGTTGATCTTTAATTTATGATAACAAATTTTGACTCCGCGTTTTACAAAACTTCGCGTTTTACAAATTTTTGACTCCGCGTTTTACAAATCCACTCCACTCCGTGTTTTACAACTTCGCCGGTGTCCCAGGAATTTCGCCCCCCCCCTAAATTCCTAGTAATATCACCCTCACGGAACTCGAAATTCCTAGGAAATTCGCCCCCCTTTAGAAACTTCACCTTTCCTTTAGGATTTTCTGCCTCGGCCACTAACAACGTTTGCGCAGGAGGCTAGGATTTTCTTCCTCCGTTAAAAATTTCGCCCTTCCCAACAGTTGCATGGGATAATTATTACATGGGTTTAGTCATTTGAAATCAATTCAAAATTGTTAAGACACAGCTTGAAATAACAGCCGATCACCGATCAATGATCGGCAAGAAATTGCTTATGATCAGCGGAAAAGCAGGGTTTCCAACCTGAAAAAAACAGGGAAAGTCATGACTGCCGATTACCATGTCGGGAACAAGCCTCTTGAGGCCCTGTTCACATGATCCCGGGATAGACAACTGCCCCGCGACAAGTCATTGACCCGGGGTACTGATATCTTCTGTTTACATGAACAAAACCAGCGCGGGTCATGGCAATAAAAAAATTACGCGGGAATCATAAAATATTTCCGCCAACGTGAAATGGTGCAATATTGCTAAATAAAAAACATTCTGATAAACGCAAGTCGTATTTTATGTCATGATATTTACAAATAGAACGTAGTTGATTATCAGCCGTAGTAAAATGTGCTCAATTCATTGTTTCTAGTTGACCAGATCAAATTCTTTGAGTAACATACTACACTTCTTGGTTTCAAACATGATATTAGCGACAATTTTATTTTAATATTATTAGAATCATCACTTATAGATTTCTATAAATCATATCTTCAATCAAATAACAAGTTTTGTGGAGTCCAACGTGCTCTAAATGTAATTTTAGCCGCGATTTTGATCGTTTTACCAAAAATTTAATTATCCCGGGACAAAGTTGCCCCGGGGCAAAGTGTTCACATGAGGAAAAGTTGTCCCGGCTAGGCGAGTGTCCCTGTCTACAGAGGCGAGGCACTCGGGTCAATTCTTGTCCCGGGACAAGTAAAATATCATGTGAACAGCACTATTCTTTTACTGCGGAGCCGAGACAATTTTTGTCCCGCGACAATTGCTTGCCCCGAGACATAACGCTGTCCCGGGTTCATGTGAACAGGGCCTGAGTTGTCTTTACCGCCGGTGCGAAGTTTCCAATCTCTACCTTTGGTTTTGTATGTTTGACTGCCGGAGTATGTCAAAATTTACCCAAAGCTTTTCCCCAGCTAGACTTTCGAAAACCTACCACACCCAGTAATCAACAACTATACTCGGTAGTGCTGTAGCGTCTTATCACTTCACTTGGTATTTGATCAGTTTGAGTTGTAGTTCGTGAAACTGCAAACTATACAAACTATTCAATCAGTTGCGAGGTGCGAGAAATGCTGAATCTTCATGGAGTTCATGCATTTAGTCTTCAGTTTAGATTCGAACTGTCAGTCGCGTGATGATTTGCAATAAATGTGAAATATTACTGTTGGTCTCCACTGACAATCTCAGTGACATGTGGCTTTCTCACTTTTATAGTTCAAGATGGAACTATTTATTATTCAGAGTTTGTTTCGTATATTATCTTTAATCTTCAATGTTATAATTGTTATATGTCTTATATGATTTAAATGATGATTCTGGATCATTAGAATTTGCCCTCTATTTGTCATTAAATGCATATTATTTTCATTATTTTCGTACGATTATAAGGCATATAGCATAATACGGCCACCAACTGAAAGCTTAAATCAAAGATTTTTTTATATTTCTATTTTCTGAAGCACTTTGAGAGTATTGACACGTCCTCGGAAACTTTAAGACAAACAGGAAAATTTGAGATATTTACATACTAGGTGTGACCGCATGATAAAATGATAACAAGTTTTAATTATTTTTGTGTACTCGCCGACAACCTGGTACGACATATGAACTCACTCATGGACTGGACTCAAAACTGGAATTTATAATCTTGGCATTTCACCGAGAAGGTGAATCTCCTACGCTGCCTTCTGTTGACTTTTATGTATTATGACATATCATTTGCTCTTTTCATAATTTCAAACTTCAAGGCATGTTTCTTTCATTATTCGTTTGTTGGAACAATGTATAAAATCGAACACAATATCAATCATTTTGGCAAGATACTCGTTCATGGCTCATATATTCGAAAAAACCCAGCTAGTTCTCTGCATTCAGTAGGCATCGAAAATTTAATCTAAGAGTAAGAGGTAGATTTTACGGCTACGATTATTACAATTGGTCCGATAGTCAGGCAATGTCTGTAATCCTGTATGTATATTATTCAAATATGTATGTTACTTTGACACAACTCAACTGATGCATGCATGATTTCAATTTCAAATATTTTGGATAAACCCGATAATATACTTTGTGTCAAAATTCATCTTTTCGATGCCTGCTAATAATTAACTGTGTAAGAATCTTCAACATAGCTATTGCATTGTTTTCGGGACACTCGATATGAATGAAACTACATATATTCCCTGATACTGCAGTGACTGGTGAAAGGTGACCTATAGAACAACCATGTTCTATTATTTCTGTTATTTTTTAATTAACAGTCATGCTGTTAAATATGCTAAGTTGCAGACTTTTAAATACGAAAGTACTTCACACAGATGCTTGCTCCATTAAAAAAATACCACGGCACATGACTCATAAGTCCAAAACAATAGTCACTTCGAAAACGAAAAACATCAGTCTGGAAAAGTATTCATTCGACGTTTTGACTAGATTTTAGTCATCATAATTTTAGTCATCATCAGGAATGATGATGACAAAAATCTAGTCGAAACGTCGAATAATTTGTAAACACTTTTCAATTGCAAAATGTTTAACGTTTTTGGTCGGAGTGACCAGTCAGTGACATCTTTGATTAAAATACTAACTCTGTTCCCGCAAGTCACAATAGGGCTAGTACATATTTGTACAATCGTGGTACAATGTAATCATCACGAGTTGTTTACGCCAAATTCCGACTTGACAGTATTGGGTACAGCCTGCCTAGCATGAGGCGTTCGGGTGCTGTTGATTAACGACACATGACATGGGTGCTGTAATATTGAAAACGGAACTACGGTTAGACTAATTTGAATAGCTATAAAAATTCCCTGTCGTGCTTGCTATCTGTCACTATGGGACTTAATCCCTCCCATTGACGTCAATGATAATTATACGTATTGACCAATCAGATTACAGTTATCCACGTGGTATCCTAGGTGTTCTTAACTTTGCGTGCGTAGTTTCGGGGAGTATTTAGTGTTCGAACGTCATACGAGCAGGTACGAGAAAGTTCGCTCGTTGCCAAAGCAATAAACCCAACGTTTCATTCAAGTATTTAAAAAGGTGAGTCGCCTTACAAATCTACAGTTTTGTCAAGTATGAGAAATAGATTTTAGAGCATGATTGTGTCTATTAGCTATCCGTTTAGTTAGTGTGTAAGAATTTCACATTATTTAAAACTGCGTCACCGCGGCGCCAGTTGGAATGATATTGATCTCACGTTGGATCTAATTATTATATGACTTCTTAAAATAACAAACAGAACTCTAACTTTGTGATTTAATTTGAGCTTTCTAAACGAAATTGGAATATTTTTCAAAGAATTAGTACTTTCTATGTTTTTGACGACTCGCTGGAACATTGGCTTTGCTGAGGCGGACATACCATATATAGTCAGCATGCTATTCATCAAACAATGCACTTTGCCTAGGTTATTTGAAACCTCGTGTTTTCAATACAAAAGTGTTTGTATGTGTGTGTTTGTTATCATTCTAACGACATTTTGTTGCGTTTTTTAAACAGAATTTCGTGATGGATTTGTCACAAGTCTGCGACATCGGTGCCTTGATGCAGAACGGCGTATTGCCACGACAGGACATGGCTTACGTTCCTCCTGATGGTAAGAGACTTTGATTTTCTTCAGTAAATCTCGTCTATGAACGATTCTATGTTCATCTGCTATCAAATCATGCTATAGACATGCATACTATGCTCGTTTCTCTTTCCTTATCTCTTCAATTTCAAAGCGTATATCTAAACACAGTTTGTTTGTCTATTTAAACAGTTCAATACGTCTTAAATAGTGGAGTCAATTCCCTGTTTCAAACTTTTCGCGAGGAAACTAACGGAATTCCCGATGGTGAGTATCTTAACTTTTTATCGAAATTCGTTCTTTCACTTTCGACTTGATATGAAAAGCTTTTCTATTAAAATGACGTAATGTTTAATTATCGCGTGATGTTTTTCATCGGCGAAATTAATCAACGCCCTTTTGAGTCCTCCCACGCTAAGTACCTGTCAACACAGGAATGTGGGGTAAACCGGTTTTGTCTAACCTGTTTGGGCAGATCTTGATATAATTGATACAGGTTTCTTATTACACACCAATATGCCTTGTTCTTCTTGACTGCATTGATAAATGATAATTGACATACTAAAATACAATTTACTAAAAACATGGTTGATTATATTTCTCGTTGGGTTTTGATGCAATTACCTATTGAGTTCAAAATTCACAGTTTCAAAAACTCGTATCAGTGACAGTGGCGTGTATTTTTTCTTTGGAACTCTTGCCAGTCTACGACTAAACAACTAATTGGTCAAACTGGTTTGATTTGATGATTTGGCATGTTCGGGCAGATTATTAATTACTGTTTTTTCCTATTACAGATCCTAGAGATTGGACATCTCAGGACGTGTGTCAATGGCTGGGGTGGGCTGAAGCTAAGTTTAACCTTGGCATTCAACTATCAAGCTTCTTGGATCAGTATGGATTCGTCTATGATGGAAAAGCTCTCTGCCGACTTACAAAACGCAATCTGTGCTTTAATACATCGGTAGCTATTGGAGAGATTCTATGGCAATCTCTACAGAGAATCTGCCACGGTGAGTTGTGATATTGAAATACATCATCGCATATATAGATAGTTAATAATATAATATATATTACTACGCCTTTTCTCACAAAAAAACTTTTTCTCAAATCAAATATTTTCTCTTTTTAGAGTATAACAAAAAACAAGAACAGATGAGGCAAAAATATCAATCTTTGCCAAGCATTTCTGAAATTGCAGTTGCAAAGGAAAATGCAACAGCAGTGGTTCCAACACTTGATGCAAGCAGCAGCCCACTTCATGATATGGCAGGTGATGCAGATGACTTCCTTGCAAGGCTGACCAGTGCACCATCCCCAGTACGGTCTGAATTTTCAGACTACGGGAGCATGCCTCGTTCTCCAGCCAGTGTATCTGGACTATCCGGTTAGTTGGCTTTTACTCAAAAGAAGTAAAAGTTTTAAGTACAGTATTACAGTATATTTATCAATTATCATCATCACTTTATTTATTTATGTTTATTAAAAAAGAAATTAAAAGGATAACCTCTTCAGTTTAAAAACAACTGCTATCAATGAGTTTTATAACCAGTAATATGTATTTTATATACAGTCAGGACTAGTCAACACTTTTTATTTTAAATGTGTCAATTTATATAATGTAGGCTAAATCATTTTTTAATTTCCAATCAATGACCAACAAAATTATATTCCCTATAAAAATTATTGCATAAATTTCTATATAATTCATCACCAGCTACATCATTAGTTTAATTAAAACTTGTGTTATGTTTTGGTTAGCATAACGAACTGTACAAATTTTGATCTAATTGTATTTTAACATTCTTTACAGAGTTGGATAATTCACCAGTCCAGTCACCACAACCGCAGGCACCTAGTCCTGATTCACACCCTGTTAAATCACCATCGGGTCGCTCACCACCTGGTCGTAAACGAGGGCCAAAGCCGACCATCAGATACTCTGGTAAATATTTAAACTATAAAATTAATCCTTTACTTCATACTTGGCTTTTGAGAATGGTGTAAAGATCCAGGGTCCCTGCAAAGCTTGGATTTTAAGATTTTTAATATTTTTCCATCAGTAGCTATATACTGTACCCTGCGGCCAATGTTAAATACGCAATCCATTATAACTGAATCTCTGCAAGCACTGCATAAAATGGTTAAATTTGGAAAATTAATTTGATGTTTTTGTTTTAAAGGCAACGGACCAATTCAACTGTGGCAGTTTCTGTTAGAATTGCTTCTTGATGAGGAGCAGAAAACTGATGTTGAATGGACTGGTCAAGACCGGTTCGAATTCAAGCTTCTGGACCCAGAAAATGTTGCCAAGTTATGGGGAAAACGAAAGAATAAGCCGAAAATGAACTATGAGAAGTTAAGTCGTGGTCTGCGATACTACTACGACAAAAATATCATCTCCAAAGTCCATGGCAAGCGATATGTTTACCGCTTCTTATGTGATATTGAGAAAGTTCTTGGGTATGACCCAACCTCGTGTGTTGGACAACAGGAGGAGAAGCCAGCAGTTGTCAAAGAGGAGAAGGAGACTCTTGTTCCGTCACCAGATTGTGCACAACCCAAGTGTGAACCCGAACCCATTCCTCCCAGCCCACTGGATTCCGTCATCTCTGATGATGATCTCTTTCATTCCCAATCAAGCCCTATCTATTCCACTGATTCCTTTCTTGATGATGATCTCCAGACAATTGGTTTTGATGATCTCGTCTTTGATATCAGTGTTCCTGATGACATCGTCCCGGATGATGCCTTCGACAGTCTTTACATGTTGTAAAGATTTGTTTTATTGTTTCTTGGACCCTGATGGTAGTATGCCATCCAATGTTGTTTACCACCTTTATGGTGGTAACATTTGTAGCTTGTATCAAGCAATTTAGTTTTAAATATTCTGTGAATATGTTTTTTATGTCGGATATTTCGACAAAAAGTTTTGAGCTTTAGTGCCTTTGGCCAAAGATGTATATATTATAGTTTATTGTAGCACATTACTTTGTGTGGTAATTATACACATGTGACTACTTGTCAAGTAATATACCAAGATATTCAAAATGAACATGAAAACTTGTTTACTAAACTCCAAAAACGTGTGCATCATTAAGAAATGTTCGTTGTTTGTGGAGGTATACGTAAATATTATATTTAGGTTCAATTGCAATTTATTTGACTTGTGAACTATTTGACAAGATATCATATGGGTATGGTTTATTTAATTTAAAATCAATAAGCTTTTACCATCCATGTAAAGTTTGGTGAAAACTTCGATGAACAGTTATAGAAAGAGACAACCTGTGGTATTAACAGACTATATTGTAGTGCATATTTGCACGGTAAATTTTATAGTGTTGAAGAGGTATTATCTTCTCACTTATTTTTAATTTTCAATAAAGTTTTACATGTCAAACAATGTTTATTCAGTTGGATTCCCAGGGGGACCTCGAGACTAAAGGGAAAACATGATGAAATAAAAAAAGTCCTTCGAAAACTGCCTTTTAAAAAATCCTGGAAGTTGGGAACAAAATGGCATGCTAAACTCCGCTATTGACCAAATATTTCCGACCAAAGTGGTTAAAATGCACCACTCTGATAAATCGTGGATGACACCCGCATTGAAAAAGCTAATTAACCAAAGACAGAAAGCTTTCCATTCTGGCAACAAGGAAATCTGGCGTCATTACAGATTGAAGGTATGACATACTGTCAGTATCGAGTAATACAATAGATATTACATTTTTTATCTGCACTCCCCCGCCCCATTGAGGACATTCGGAGGAAAAATGCATCATCCAATATCATTCCAACTTGAAATACTCGGAATTAAAAACTAGCTGCATATATATCCCTGATACATATTTCTTCTCTCCTACATGGTTAGCCAGTAACAGAAATTTTGGTGAGTGTTTTGATCATAAAATGTGTCGAGCGATCCCATACTGACGTGGGCTGTTTATCTCTTTGGCCGAAACATCAGTCGAACTCAAACCACAATCGGTTAGTGTTAGTCAAATGGGCTAGTAATGTATCTACTGGTGGTTATAGTGATAAAGCTATAGAAGAGGTACTAACGGCGGATTGTTCAACCCTTGTTGAGCTAGAGCATTTTATTGACCGATTTTTTCAAAATGCGAATGCTCTGATGCGAAATAATAATACTAATATATTTTCTGCCCAAACTATTGACAGCGCTACCCCAGTTCGGCCTAAGTTGGGCATCGCAGAGAAACAATTTTGCATGTTCAGGGATTGAGTCAGATATTGCAGTCTAATTGATAAATAATCTGAATTAGAAGTCAAAGTGTTCTCTGAGGATCAATCGAATAATACAATCGGCTTCAAAGAAAGCAGTGATGCTGTTGTCATTAATGAGGTTAACCTTTCTAGTATCAATGCTGCCAGCATTCCTCTTGATTGCATTTCCCAAATCGCCTGCTCCAATGAAGTTAACCATATGACCATAATACTGAACAAAGTCAAATGAGTCAACCTATAGGAACCAACAACCCAATTACAATACAGACTGTTCTGTTAAACAAAAACAATCTAACCAACGTTCGCAAACTAAACAAATAAATGCACATCTGATCCTATTAACTTGGAATATCCTAAACAAAGTAAAAATCAAGGGAACCAACAACGTCAGTACAACTTAGTCAGTCCTGTAAAATAAAGCAATTTCCATCAACATTCCCAAGCTGTTATTCGCCTGCAATCAAATGTCAGTCGCGCGAAGCCAAAACCAATTGAAATGAACATTCTGTGCAACATATTTCAAGTAGTAACAACACTATAATC